TCTGTGTGTGTCTGTGTGTCTCTGTGTGTGCGTGTCTGTGTGTGTCTGTGTCTCTCTGTGTGTGTCTCTGTGTGTGTATGTGTCTGTGTGTGTATCTGTGTCTCTCTGTGTGTGTCTCTGTGTGTGTATGTATGTGGCTGTGTGTGTGTGTGTCTGTGTGTGTGTGTCTGTGTGTGTGTTTGCCTGTGTGTGTCTGTATGTGTGTGTCTGTGTGTGTGTCTGTGTGTGTGTGTATGTGTGTCGCTGACGATTTGGCTCTGTGTGTGTGTCTCTCTGTGTGTGTCTGTGTGTCTGTGTGTGTCTGTGTGGTCTGTGTGTGTCTGTGTGTGTCTGTGTGTGTGTGTATGTGTGTGTGTCTCTCTGTGTGTGTGTCTGTGTGTGTCTGTGTGTGTGTCTGTGTGTGTCTGTGTGTGTCTGTGTGTGTCTGTGTGTGTGTGTATGTGTGTGTATGTGTCTGTGTGTGTGTCTCTATGTGTGTATGTGTGTGTGTCTGTGTGTCTGTGTGTGTGTCTCTCTGTGTGTGTGTCTCTGTGTGTGTGTGTATGTGTGTGTCTGTGTCTCTCTGTGTGTGTCTCTGTGTGTGTGTATGTGTGTCGCTGTCGATTTGGCTATGTGTGTGTGTCTCTCTGTGTGTGTATGTGTCTGTGTGTCTGTGTGTGTATTTGTCTGTGTGTGTCTGTGTGTGTGTGTCTGTGTGTGTATGTGTCTGTGTGTGTGTGTCTGTGTATATGTGTCTGTGTGTGTCTCTTTGTGTATGTGTCTGTGTGTGTCTCTCTCTGTGTGTGTCTGTGTGTGTATGTGTCTGTGTGTGTGTGTCTGTGTATATGTGTCTGTGTGTGTCTCTTTGTGTATGTGTCTGTGTGTGTCTCTCTCTGTGTGTGTCTGTGTGTGTCTCTCTGTGTGTGTGTGTCTCTGTGTGTGTGTCTCTGTGTGTGTATGTGTGTCTCTGTGTGTGTGTCTGTGTTTGCCTCTCTGTGTGTGTCTCTGTGTGTGTATGTGTGTGTCTGTGTCTCTCTGTGTGTGTCTCTGTGTGTGTGTGTATGTGTGTCGCTGTCGATTTGGCTCTGTGTGTGTGTCTCTCTGTGTGTGTATGTGTCTGTGTGTCTGTGTGTGTATTTGTCTGTGTGTGTCTGTGTGTGTGTGTCTGTGTGTGTATGTGTCTGTGTGTGTGTGTCTGTGTATATGTGTCTGTGTGTGTCTCTTTGTGTATGTGTCTGTGTGTGTCTCTCTCTGTGTGTGTCTGTGTGTGTATGTGTCTGTGTGTGTGTGTCTGTGTATATGTGTCTGTGTGTGTCTGTGTGTGTCTCTGTGTGTGTGTGTGTCTGTGTCTCTCTGTGTGTGTTTCTGTGTGTGTGTGTATGTGTGTCGCTGTCGATTTGGCTCTGTGTGTGTGTCTCTCTGTGTGTGTATGTGTCTGTGTGTCTGTGTGTGTATTTGTCTGTGTGTGTCTGTGTGTGTGTGTCTGTGTGTGTATGTGTCTGTGTGTGTGTGTCTGTGTATATGTGTCTGTGTGTGTCTCTTTGTGTATGTGTCTGTGTGTGTCTCTCTCTGTGTGTGTCTGTGTGTGTATGTGTCTGTGTGTGTGTGTGTCTGTGTATATGTGTCTGTGTGTGTCTCTTTGTGTATGTGTCTGTGTGTGTCTCTCTCTGTGTGTGTCTGTGTGTGTCTCTCTGTGTGTGTGTGTCTCTGTGTGTGTGTCTCTGTGTGTGTATGTGTGTCTCTGTGTGTGTGTCTGTGTTTGCCTCTCTGTGTGTGTCTCTGTGTGTGTATGTGTGTCTGTGTGTGTGTCTGTGTTTGCCTCTCTGTGTGTGTGTCTGTGTGTGTCTGTGTGTGTCTCTGTGTGTGTGTGTCTCTGTGTGTGTGTATGTGTCTCTGTGTGTGTGTATATCTGTGTGTGTCTCTCTCTGTGTGTTTGTATATGTGTCTGTGTGTATATCTGTGTGTATGTGTCTGTGTGTGTCTATCTGTGTATATATCTCTGTGTGTCTCTGTGTATACGTAAATGTGTGTACGTGTGTTTGTGTGTATATCTGTGTGTGTATGTGTATATCTGTGTGTGTGTGTGCATCTGTGTGTGTATCCCTATTGGTAAACCATGTTATGTATGCCGATGATCTCGTGATTGCTGTTCACTCAGAGGAGGAGTTAGAGGCGCTGCTGCTGAAACTGGAGTGTGCCACTAAGAGGTGGGGCCTTACCATCAGCCCCACCAAATCTAAGCACCTGCCTGAGTATTTTGTGCCATCAAAAACTGCACCCCTCAGCTCCCCATTGCTGATGGAGCTGTTGTGGAGAGTGGAGAGTTTCCCCATACCTGGGCAGTGTGCTTATTCCCAGCTCCGGTCTGACAGCAGAGGTCTCAACTCCGAATCAGACAGGCGGCATTATCTTTGCATTGGCTGCGTAACGCTGTGTGGAAGCTACCTGGTCTGTCGCTCAGCACGAAGCAATGGGTCTTCCAAGCCACAGTCATTCCCTCCCTTCTCTATGCTTGTGAAACTATGCTTACCTGGTTAATAACATCCTTCCATTGATTGCTCAATTTGTATCCATCTTCTCGGTTGATGTCACGGCTATGTTTAGATATCTGGATGGCTTCATGAACAAACCTTTGCTTAGTAGCCCGAAGGTTTGCAGAGTACCGTAGCTGACCATTGTTATAACGCTGTGGGCTCGCATGATATTGTTTTTTCCGAGACCAAGGCATCCGCGTTGGTGTGGCGAAGCCCTTTGCCCCTGGACCACATCCTAAGACAATTCCTGCAGGCGCTCAATCCATTTGGCCATTTGGCCATCTGGCCTGAAAGATGTTCAATGCACATTGAAGACTACACCGCATGGTCGGTGCTCACCACAAATCGCCGGCCAAATAAGTAAGAGCGGAATTGACCGACGAAATGTACAACTGCTGGGAGCTCCGGGCACGTGACGCAGTACCGCCGTTCAGCCGGCGATGATAGCACCCAGCTGCCATCGGCGATCACGACTTCCCGGTCAGACTGGGCCTGCGATAACATGCCCCCAATCCACACATCGCTGGCATCCATGTCCAATAAGAGAGGCAATGAAAAATCAGGGTAAGTCAGCGACAGAACATCTGTAAAAAAACTTCCTTAAGGCCAAATCCCCCTCAGGACCCCAGCTAGACTTCTGACCCTCGGCAGTAAGCGCATGGAATGGCTTCGCAATGGTGGCAAAATCTTGTACAAAGCGGCGATAAATTTCGATTTAAATTTCGATTTAAAGCTTTCGTGACTACAGGGATTCATCTTCTTGGTTCACACGAACCAACAGACCTCCGAACACGAGACATCGAAATGGGTGTGGGCCAGTTGCGAACATAGCGAGTCTTGTCGGAGTCTGGAACAACCTCTGCCGTGCTGACGTGCTCCGAATATTTGACAGAGGACTACGCTTGGTGACATTTGGATGGTTTGAGCTTCAGGCGCACCCCCTGAAAGTGAAAAAACCAGTGCCAACCGCTGTAAATGTTCCTCAAAAGAGCGACCAAAGACGATGACGTCGTCAAAGTAAATAAAACAGACGTCCATAGAAGACCTACTCTTTGGTTCTTTCGGTAAAGTCACGTATAAAGAGAAAATAATAAATTAAATACTAGCCTACGATGTTTCGATTGCAACACAAGCAATCATCATCAGGTATAAATGAAAAAGAAACACAAATCTAGTATACGTAGAAATGTTATGTAATACAACAGAGAGTCGGATAACATAACAGTCAACACCCTACCTGGTTGATTACGTTCTTCCTGAGAATGATAAATTTGAGAGAGAGATAAAACACAGAACCAGAGACATATAGACAGAAATATAAGCAGACAGATATCACAGAGATACATAGAGAGAGAGACAAACATAGGCACACAGAGAAACCACGCCTCTGTGTCTTTTTACGTGACTTTACCAAAAGAACCAAAGAGTAATTCCTGCAGTCACGAATGCTCCAAATTAAGCATTGAAGACCTGTCAGGACCAACTCCATCAACCGTTGAAAAGTAGCTCGCGCCGTCCGTAGACCCGTCAGCAAACAGTTGAAATGGAAGAGGCTTTGAGGTGTTCTGAAGGCGGTTCTGTGCCGGGAGTCGTCGTCGAAAGGCAGCTGCCAGAATCTTGACAATAAATTCTGGATAGAAACGAATTTGGCTCCCACCAACGCATCCAAAGAATCGTCAACTCGTGGAAACGGATGGGCATCTGCCAAGGTAACCTTATTTAACCGGCAAAAGTCAACGCAGAACCACAAGGACTCCATTGGTGGAGGGTGAAATAAACTCCGCTTGTGGCATCTCATCTATTGCTTTGTGTACGATCCTTCTCCGCCGGCCCCATGCGGTATGAGTTCTGACGGATTGGTGAAGCATCCCCCGTTTTAATGTGGTGCGACATTAAACCCGTCCATCCCGAGTTATAAGGACCTTTGTTAAAAACCCCTTCAAACCTCTGTAGCAGCACCAGAGGTCGCCGGCCGGGTACGGGTACGGGTACCCGTTTGCGACCCTGGTGCGGCCGGGTACAGGTACGGGTTGGCCGGGTACGGGTACGGGTTGGCCGTGAGTCACTGGTGAGTAACTGTTTGTCACTCATTTCCCAACGTCTTGTCTCTTCTCACAATTCAAGTTCCTAGAATCAACCCACCCGTGCCTGCAACATGGCTTCATCCCAGAGGTCGCAATCAGGTACCCGATACCCGTACCCGGCCGGGTACGGGTACGGGTACCCGTTTGCGACCCTGGTGCGGCCGGGTATGGGTACGGGTAAGGAATCAAAACCCGTTTGCGACCTCTGAGTAGCACCTAGAATCCCTGACTCTCCGTGCTCTCTATCCCCGTGTCTCCCGCTCTTTCTCTCGACCCACTCACTTTCTTCCCGCTCTTTCCTTCTCCTCCAATCGTGTCCCCCCGGGTAGGGGCCGTCCCTAGCGCGCGTCATAGGGTAAGCGTCTCGTCCTCCAATGGGAAAGCCGGGATGCTCTGACGTCAGCTACGTGTGCTGCTTCCCCAGCACATCTGCCTCGAGTATCCTGCACACGTGTTCACACGCAAGCACGTGCACGCGTGTTTACACGCAAGGACGAACACACGTTTACATGTACACGCATGTTTGCAAGCACACACGTGCACACATTTAGCTTATTTGATACCTGCGTCATCTGGTCCAACCCATGTGAGACTAGGCTCTAAGGAAAGCTGTCTCGGGTGTAGACCAATCAACTTCAAGGACAGTGCATATATTATCAGAGTTATGTTTTTGTTTGCATTATGGCTGCAGGTATTGTGGTCTATACAAACATGACTCCTTGTAAAAAAGGTGTCTGTTTTGTTGCCAGATAGAAGGGTAAAAAACCAATTATCACGTGCACACGTGTTTACACACAGACACGTAAACAGGTACACACGCACACACACAGAATGAAACACAGGCGCAAGGTACAGAGAAGTTTGTTTTTATTGTGCATCTTATTTACAACACATCAGTATAAGAACTATTTTGGCAAATAATGAGTGGAAGAATACAAAAAAAATATATAAAAAGCTGAGTATGTGCAATACAGGCTCCTATATATATTAACTCTCTCCCACTACTGTACTCTACAATACAGTGCGCCACTGTACATTGACAGTGCCGTACAGTACGCACTGTGCAATACTGTACTGTGGTGGCCGCCATTTTTAAATGGACGGTGCGATCGTGACAGAAGCGACGTTTACAACACTGTACAGGCTTTGTAATCATAATACAACTCGGGATTTCAATCGTGATTGAAGCTTTCGTGACTGCGGGAATCCATATCCTTTGGTTGTTTCGGTAAAGTCATCACGTAGGTAGAGAAATCAAATAAATCACGACGTTTCGGGCGCGACACAAGCGGCCGCCATTACCCACGTGACTTTCCCACCTGATGATGGACGCTTGTGTTGTGCCCGAAACGTCGTCATTTATCTCATTTGATATCTACGTGGTGACTTTACCGAAAGAACCAAAGAGTATGACTCTTAATGTGTGTGTGTGTGTCCAGAGGCGATGACACACTATGCTGGAGATGGGAATACAATGTGTAGCCAGGCGACGTTTCAGGCAATGGACCTTCTGCACAGCACATGGGGGGGGGGGGGGGTTGGAGGCGCTTTCACCCAGCAATGGATAACAAATTGTGTCATGAGGAAGGGTCGTTGCCTGGAACGTCGCCTCCCTTTCAATTGCGTTGCTGGCAGTCCCTCAACGCTCTCGAAGAAAACTCGGCACATTTGTCAGTACAAAGACACAAATCCCCCGTATAGCCTTAACAGACTGTTGGGACAAGTGCTGTTAGCGAGCACTTATGAAGGCCGGCACGGCACACGAGGGGGTGGGTGGCCAGCACCACGCCCGGCCGCCTTTGTCTCCCCAGTGGCGATGTTCGCACACCGCACCAGGTACTCATTTGAGGCTGAGTCGACCTAGGGGAGGCCGGGTTCGCAACGCAGCGTAGCGCTAACCGCTGCACCACCGCTCCCCCCACACACGCCACGTGTGTGGTTTGGCCTTTTAAAAATGAAATGATAAAAAAATATCTATAACGGGGCCAATGACCCTCCTCCATTGTGGGCACAGCCTTCATCCAGCGGTGGATTACAACAGGCGTGGAGCTGAGTGTGTGTGAGAGCGTGTGTGTATGTGTGTGTGTATGCGTGTATGTGCGTGTGTGAGTGCGTGTGCGAGTGTGTGAATTGTTGTTGTGTCTGTGCGTATATCCCCGGCAAGGGATTCTATCATTTTAAATCATTGAAGGCGCTGCGAGGTGGTGTTTGGGGTGGGTGGTGGTGCTGGTGGTGGTGTTTGGGGTGGGTGGTGGTGCTGGTGGTGGTGCTGGTGCTGGTGGTGTTTGGGGTGGGTGGTGGTGATGGTGTTTGGGGTGGGTGGTGGTGTTTGGGGTGGGTGGTGGTGCTGGTGGTGCTGGTGGTGGTGTTAACCCAACCTGACGGTCATTTCACGACCCCACATCACCACAGATGAATGGGCTGTGATCGTTTGGCAAATCTCAACACTTCGTGAAACGGAGAGTAGGGGGAGGGGAGGGAGGTTAGGGAGGAGATGGAATGGAGGTAGGGAGTGGAGAGTGGGGGGAGGGTAAGAAGGGAGCTGAGAAGAGAGATTTTGACATCAAGCAGGAAAGGTTCGACTCCCGTGTCGTCACCTGCGCTGAGTCTCAAGGGCACCCCCCTCTTGGACAGGAGGGGGGTCCCTGCCAGGTTCTATTGTGGATGTGTAGTTAATGTGTTAACTTCCTTTGCACCCTACGCAAGCCGGTGATGTTGTCCGGGCGATGCTGCTGCTGCTGCCGTGAAACCCTGAAAGGCAATTTTTGGGGATGTTTCGAAGCCGCACTGGTGACACGGTACGTTTGATTGTAGTTCTGTGTGTTTAGCTTTATGGGTGAAACCCGGAGAAATTGGAGGAAACCCAAGCAGAACACGAGGGGAGAGAACTCACTAACTCCACACGCTCAGAAAAAAAAAAACAAAGATCCCCCGTGTAGCCTTGAACAGACTGTTGGGGCAAGTGCTTTTAACGAGCAGCACCTATGAAGACCGGCATTGTGGCACACGAGGGGGTGGGTGGCTACCACCACGCGCGGCCGCCTTTGTCTCCCCAGTGGCGATGCTTACACACCGCACCAGGTACTCGTTTGAGGCCGAGTCGTCCTAGGGGCGGCCCAGGACCGGTTCACATCATCGTCAGCGTGTTGGTGAGTGCGTGATCCACGTTATAACGGTGAGTGCGTGATCCACGTTATAACGGCGAGTGCGTGATCCACGTCATAACGGTGAGTGCGTGATCCACGTGTAACGGCGAGTGCGTGATCCACGTCACAACGGTGAGTGCGTTATAACGGCGAGTGCGTGATCCACGTCATAACGGCGAGTGCGTTGTAACGGTGAGTGTTATAACGGTGAGTGCGTTATAACGATGAGTGCGTTGTAACGGTGAGTGTTATAACGGTGAGTGCGTTATAACGATGAGTGCGTTGTAACGGTGAGTGTTATAACGGCGAGTGCGTTATAACGGTGAGTGCGTCGTAACGGCGAGTGCGTTATAACGGTGAGTGCGTCGTAACGGTGAGTGCGTTATAACGGTGAGTGCGTCGTAACGGCACCGTGTGAAAAGTGTCCCCTGGCGGAAGCAGCGCTAACGTGGCGCCGTACGTTCAAGTAGCGGACTTGGGACCGGGACACGCCAACGAGGGAACTTTGGCCTACTCTTCCACGCTGAGGAAAGAGGCGGGAGCTACCCGCGCACCACCCCCGCCAGGGCTGCCCCCTTGCCCACTGGGACAAGGCAGGCCCGTTTACCGCGGTAGTTTCGCGTAGCGGTGAATCTTTGCTCGCCGAGGTTCGAGGGGATTAACGGCGCGTGCTGAAGACGCGTAAATTCAATATCTTGACTCCCGCCGGGATTCACTCCTGGCTGCTACTCACTCGATGTGCGGGTCGGTGGCTCGGTGCAGTTCCTATTTGGCCTGCGATCAAATCGCACGGTGAGATGATTGTGAATCTGATGGTGAGGTGATTGTGAATCTGATGTGAGGTGATTGTGAATCTGATGGTGAGGTGATTGTGAATCTGATGGTGAGGTGATTGTGAATCTGATGGTGAGGTGATTGTGAATCTGATGGTGAGGTGATTGTGAATCTGATGGTGAGGTGATTGTGAATCTGATGGTGAGGTGATTGTGAATCTGATGGTGAGGTGATTGTGAATCTGATGGTGAGGTGATTGTGAATCTGATGGTGAGGTGATTGTGAATCTGATGGTGAGGTGATTGTGAATCTGATGGTGAGGTGATTGTGAATCTGATGGTGAGGTGATTGTGAATCTGATGGTGAGGTGATTGTGAATCTGATGGTGAGGTGATTGTGAATCTGATGGTGAGGTGATTGTGAATCTGATGGTGAGGTGATTGTGAATCTGATGGTGAGGTGATTGTGAATCTGATGGTGAGGTGATTGTGAATCTGATGGTGAGGTGATTGTGAATCTGATGGTGAGTTGATTGTGAATCTGATGGTGAGGTGATTGTGAATCTGATGGTGAGTTGATTGTGAATCTGATGGTGAGGTGATTGTGAATCTGATGGTTGAGATGATTGTGAATCTGATGGTGAGGTGATTGTGAATCTGATGGTGAGGTGATTGTGAATCTCACGGTGAGGTGACTGCAAATCTCGCCGGCCCCACGGCGCCACATTGCGGTGAACCTCACCGGCACCAGGGTGCCCCCCCCCCCCCACCCCGATGGCTCCCGTCGGTGCCGCCATCTCACCGGGGCCGGCCCGGCGTCAGAGCCTCCCGGCTGTCGTCGCTTTGATCTTTGCCGCCGCCGCCGCAGCAACAACAACCGCCGCTCGTGTCCCCGGCCACGGCCAGTGGCGCCGCTAGTGCCGCCGCTAGTGCCGCCGCCGGATGCGGCTAAAACCCTCGCGAGGTCGTGACCCCGGCCGCCGGCTGGGGAGCTATCGGAGAACGCCGGCGCTGCCCCTGGCGCAGTCGGCGCACGTCAACTCGGCGGCAGCAGGCCGTGTCGGCGCCGCCACCGCGCCGGCGCCGCTGTTCGGGAAGACGGCCTTCTCCGCCGATGTCCTCTCGCTATCACCGCCACTGCCGGCGCCACGACCTGTTGCCGGTGCTGCGCCGATGGCGCAATCGTGGCGATCCTCAGCGCAGACGTAGCCGCCGTTTGTCGGGCGGGAGGTCAACTTGTGGAGGAGGTCCACGACAGGCAGCCGCTCGGCGCGCCGGCCGGCGCCGGCAGCGGCAGCGGCACCGGCGACATCGGCAGCGACATCGTTGGCGCCGCCGGCGTCGATGCCATCGCCCACGTCGCCACCCACATCTGTGCCACTGACTCCAGCGCCAGATCCACCACTGACTCCACCACCAACTCCACCACCAACTTCACCACCAGATTCACCACCAGATCCACCACTGACTCCACCACCAGATTCACCACCAGATCCACCACTGACTCCACCATCAGATCCACCACCAACTCCACCACTGACTCCACCACCAACTCCACCACCAATTTCACCACCAGATTCACCACCATATCCACCACCAACTCCACCATCAGATCCACCACCAGCTCCACCACCAGATTCACCACCAGATCCACCACCAACTCCACCACTAACTCCACCAACTCCACCACTAGATCCACCACCAACTCCACCACCAGATCCATCACCAGCTCCACCACCAACTCCATCACCAGATCCACCACCAACTTTGGCGTCAACATGGGCATCTCCAATGTCATCGTTGTCCCCGTGACCATCTGCAGCACCACCACCTCCACCACCACCACCACCTCCACCACCTCCACCACCTCCACCACCCTTCTGGGTCTTATCGGCATCTTCGCCGTGAGCGGCAGCTCCGGCAACATCTTCACTCGCGTCCTCACCGCCACCATCACCACAAGCATCGGCAAAATCACCGCCACCACCACCATCACCTTCGCCACCGCGGTCGCTCGCACCATCAAGTTTGCTAGCGGCGAGATCACCACCACCGCCACCGTCGTCGCAAGCGACGTCACCGCCAGCGTCACCACCACCGTCACCGCCACCGCCATCGCTACCAGCGTCACCGTCTCTCTTTGCGAGCGGCGTTCCTCCGTCCCTCTCCTCGTCGGCCACGCAAACCTCCGCCGCCTCCACCTTCACGCTGACGAGGGTCACCTCATCCTTCAAGCCACGTCCACCACCTCCACCTCCACCACCTCCACCACCTCCGTTGACGAGGACATGAGCGCCGACGCCACCGCCGTCACTGCCCCCGTAGCGACCCCAGCCGCCGGCGCCGATCGGCACGGGCACCGGGATGGGGATGGGGATGGGGATCGGCACGGGCACCAGCACCGGGTACGGCACCAGCAGCGTGGGCGGAGGCACCAGCGGAGCCAGCGGAGGGACCATCATGAACTGATGCTGCTGCTGCTGCCCTCCGTGCAGGTATGGGGGCATCTGTTGCTGATGCTGCTGATGCTGCTGCTGATGATGCTGCTGATGATGCTGCTGCTGCTGATGATGCTGCTGATGCTGCTGCTGCTGCGGCAGCTGAACCTGCGGGAAGACGGGCATGGCAAACCGCGCCGGCTGGTTCACCAAGTACGCCGTGTTTAGCGCCCCCGGCTGCAAGTTCTGCGGTGTCATCTGCTGGTGCTGCTGCTGCTGGAGGTGCTGCTGCTGCTGGTGGTGCCGGTTGTTGTTGTTGTGCTGCTGCTGCTGGTGCTGCTGCTGGTGATGCTGCTGCTGGTGCTGCTGCTGGTGCTGCTGCCCGCCGATCTCAACCTTCCCAGCGACCGGGGTGAGCAGCAGGAGGCACGGAGACTTCTTGGCCGCATCGCGCTGCTGGTGCAGCGGCGCCGCCACGTCAGCGCGCCGCCTCTCCGCGCCGCCCTCTGCGCGTCCGGCGCCGGCGGCGGCGGCAGCCGCGGCCGCAGCCCTCGCGGCGGCGCCGGCGGCCCCGGCGGCGGAGGGGGGTGGCGGCGGAGACTCGTCCCGTTTGATGGGCGCCAGCGCCGTCGTTCCCGCCGTCCTGGCCGACTTCGACTCCTGCCGGTGCCGGCGCTCGTCCGGCGACTGATCGCGGCGACGGCTCGGCCAGCTCCCCGGGGCCGCACGTCGCCGGCGCCGCCGCGTCCCCCCCCCACGCCCCCCGGTGCCTCTGCGCCGGCGACGCCTGCGGACAAGCGCCGCCGTTCCCGATCTTGGCGGCGACGTTGCCGGCACCGACGTTAGAGCCGCCGCCGCCGCTACTGCCGGCGCCGCCGCCGCCACCGCCGCCCTTGTCTCGGTCCGGCGTGGCGGAAGAGGGCGGCTTGTCGCCGTCGTTGGCGCCGCCGTCGGCCGGCGTGGAAGAGGAGGAGGAGGAGGAGGCGGTGTGCGGCGGCGCCGGGAGGTTGGCACGAGTCTCGGAGTAGAAGACGTCGATCTTGTAGCGGCCCAGGCACTTGTCGCTGCAGAAGCGCAGCCGGCGCTCGCCCTCGCCGAACCCCAGGTACTCTAGCGCCTGGCACGCCTGCTTGCACCAGTCACACACCTGCGGTGGGGGGGGGGGCGCCGTCAGTGAGGCTTGCGTGACAGCAGCGAAGGCGACTAGTGGTGGTGGTGGCGGTGCTGGTGGTGGTGCTGGTGGTGCTGGTGGTGGTGGTGGTGGTAGTGGTGCTGGTGGTGGTGGTGGTGGCGGTGCTGGTGGTGGTGCTGGTGGTGCTGGTGGTGGTGCTGGTGGTGGTGCTGGTGGTAGTGGTGGTGCTGGTGCTGGTGGTGGCGGTGGTGGTGCTGGTGGTGGTGCTGGTGATGCTGGTGGTGGTGGTGGTGGTGCTGGTGGCGGTGCTGGTGGTGGTGCTGGTGGCGGTGCTGGTGGTGGTGCTGGTGGTGGTGGTGCTGGTGGCGGTGCTGGTGGCGGTGGTGGTGCTGGTGGCGGTGCTGGTGGTGCTGGTGGTGGTGGTGCTGGTGGCGGTGCTGGTGGTGGTGGTGGTGCTGGTGGTGGCGGTGCTGGTGCTGGTGGTGGCGGTGCTGGTGCTGGTGGTGGTGCTGCTGTTGGTGGTGGTGGTAGTCGTGGTGGTGAAAGTGGTGCTGGCTGTGGTGGCAGTGGTGGTAGTGGTGCTGGTGGTGAAGGTGCTGGTGAAAGTGGTGGTGGTTGTCATAGTGCTGGTGGTGGTGCTGGCAGTGCTGCTGCTGGTGCTGCTACTGGTGCTGCTGGTGCTGGTAGTGGTGGTAGTGCTGCTGGTGTTGGTAGTGGTGGTAGTCGTGGTAGTGCTGCTGGTGCTGGTAGTGGTGGTAGTGCTGCTGGTAGTGCTGCTGGTGCTGGTAGTGGTGGTAGTGGTGCTGGTGCTGCTGGTGCTGGTAGTGATGGTAGTGCTGCTGGTGCTGGTAGTGGTGGTAGTGGTGGTAGTGCTGCTGGTAGTGCTGCTGGTGCTGGTAGTGGTGGTAGTGCTGCTGGTGCTGCTGGTGCTGGTAGTGGTGGTAGTGCTGCTGGTGCTGGTAGTGGTGGTAGTGGTGGTAGTGCTGCTGGTAGTGCTGCTGGTGCTGGTAGTGGTGGTAGTGCTGCTGGTGCTGCTGGTGCTGGTAGTGGTGGTAGTGCTGCTGGTGCTGGTAGTGGTGGTAGTGCTGCTGGTCGTGCTGCTGGTGCTGCTGGTGCTGGTAGTGGTGGTAGTGGTGCTGGTGCTGCTAGTGCTGGTAGTGCTGCTGGTAGTTCTGCTGGTGCTGGTAGTGGTGGTAGTGCTGCTGGTGCTGGTGGTGGTGGTAGTGGTGCTGCTGGTGCTGGTAGTGGTAGTGCTGCTGGTGCTGCTGGTGCTGGCACCTTGTTGCGCTTGAAGTGTGCCCGCCGGCCCGCGCTGAAGCACTTGTCGCTGCAGAAGGCGCGGATCTCCCCCCCCATGGGCAGCGCGTAGCGGCGCTGCCCCACCTTCTGGCACCAGGAGCACGGCGCCTGCGGGCACGGCGCCACCCCCGCCTCCTCCTCTGCGCAGATGCCGTGGTGGCGAGATGTTAACTACCTCGCCTGGTACGCAGGAAGTCGTGGGTTCGATCCCCACCCTGATGAGATGTTAACTACCTCGCCTGGTACGCAGGAAGTCGTGGGTTCGATCCCGACCCTGATGAGATGTTAACTACCTCGCCTGGTACGCAGGAAGTCGTGGGTTCGATCCCGACCCTGATGAGATGTTAACTACCTCGCCTGGTACGCAGGAAGTCGTGGGTTCGATCCCGACCCTGATGAGATGTTAACTACCTCGCCTGGTACGCAGGAAGTCGTGGGTTCGATCCCGACCCTGGTGAGATGTTAACTACCTCGCCTGGTACGCAGGAAGTCGTGGGTTCGATCCCCACCCTGATGAGATGTTAACTACCTCGCCTGGTACGCAGGAGGTCGTGGGTTCGATCCCGACCCTGACGCCTGCTGCTGTATATTTGGAGTTTGCGTGTCTCTCTCATCATCACGGTGGCTAGGAGATGTTAACTACCTCGCCTGGTACGCAGGAGGTCGGAGGTTCGATCCTGACCCTCACGCCTGCTGCTGTATATTTGGAGTTTGCGTCTCTCTCTGTCATCATCATCACGGTGGCTAGGAGATGTTAACTACCTCGCCTGGTACGCAGGAGGTCGTGGGTTTGATCCCGACCCTGACGCCTGATAACCATGCTCGCTTCTGAACAAGAGCTACATATCTCAGTAGGGGCCTTACCTGGTAAGAATAAAAAATTGTTTAAAAATTTTTGTTTAGTTTTAGATGCAGCCGGTGCCCCGTCGCGGCCTTGTCCAGACCACCGGCGCGACGGAACTGAAAGCGAGCGGCCGTCTCGTCGACGGAAAGCGCAAGCGGGCGGACACGGAGAGTCGAGCGTCGCTGCGGCGGTTTCCTCGCCGGCGCCGTGGAGGAGCGAGCTCCCTTGCCGAGTTCGATCGCAACGCTCTCCACCGGTGACGGTTGACGGCGAATATTTGAGCCGGACGTGGGCCTCCCGCTAGGTCGACTCGGCCTCAAATGAGTACCCAGTGCGGTGTGTAAACATCAGTCCTGGGGAGACAAAGGCGGCCGGGTGCGGTTCGAGCCACACCGCCCTCTCGCGTGCCGTGCCGGCCTTCATTGGTGCTACTCGCTAACAGCACTTGCCCTGAGAGCCGATGAAGACTAGAGGGGGATCTTTGTCTTGTGTGTGAGCGTGAGGGTGTGGAGTGGGGCGTGTGAGACTGTGAGAGTGCGGAGTGTGAGTGAGTGTGTGAGTGAGAGTGTGAGTGAGTGAGAGTGTGAGTGAGTGTGAGTGAGTGTGTGAGTGAGTGAGAGTGTGAGTGAGAGTGTGAGTGTGAATGAGAGTGTGTGAGTGAGTGTGTGAGTGAGTGAGAGTGAGTGAGAGAGTGTGAGTGAGAGTGTGAGTGAGTGAGAGTGTGAGTGTGAGAGTGTGAGGGTGTGAGTGAGTGTGTGAGTGAGTGAGAGTGTGAGTGAGTGAGAGTGTGAGTGTGTGAGCGAGTGAGAGTGTGAGTGAGAGTGTGAGTGAGTGAGAGTGTGAGTGAGTGTGTGAGTGTGTGAGTGTGTGAGTGTGTGAGTGAGTGAGAGTGTGAGTGAGTGAGAGTGTGAGTGAGAGTGTGAGTGTGTGAGTGTGTGAGTGAGTGAGAGTGTGAGTGAGTGAGAGTGTGAGTGAGTGTGTGAGTGAGTGAGAGTGTGAGTGAGAGTGCGAGTGAGTGAGAGTGCGAGTGAGTGAGAGTGTGAGTGAGAGTGTGAGTGAGTGAGAGTGTGAGTGAGTGAGAGTGTGAGTGTGAGTGAGAGTGTGAGTGAGTGAGAGTGTGAGTGAGAGTGAGAGGGTGTGAGTGAGAGTGTGAGTGAGTGAGAGTGTGAGTGAGTGAGAGTGAGAGGGTGTGAGTGAGAGTGTGAGTGAGTGAGTGAGAGTGTGAGTGTGTGAGTGAGTGTGTGAGTGAGAGTGTGAGTGAGTGTGAGTCAGTGTGAGTGTGAGTGAGAGTGTGAGTGTGTGAGTGAGTGTGTGAGTGCTGAGTGTGACAGAGTGTGAGTGAGTGAGTGTGTGAGTGAGAGTGCTGAGTGTGACAGAGTGTGAGTGAGTGAGTTGTGAGTGCGTGTTTCTGAGTGTGAGTGAGTGAGTGAATGAGTGAGTGAGTGTGAGTGAGTGTATCTGAGTGAGAGTGAGTTATGAGTGCGTGTTTCTGAGCGAGTGTGAGTAACGGAGTGTGTGTTTCTGAGTGAGAGTGTGAGAGTGTGAGTGTGAGCGTGAGTGAGTGTGAGTGTGAGTAACGGAGTGAGTGTGAGTGTGAGCGTGAGTGAGTGTGAGTGTGAGTAATGGAGTGCGTGTTAGCAAGAGTGGTCTCACCCCCAGTGGCGCTGTGGAGTTTGGGTGCCCTGGTGAGCGGCGACGCCGCTGGCGTTGCCGCCAGGGGGGCGCTGAGGAGGGGCACCATCACGGGGATGGGCCCGGGCGCTACCTGGGGGATCACAGTAACCCCATTAACAACACCCACTAACATACAACACCCACTAACACACAACACCCGCTAACACACAACACCCGCTAACATACAACCCTCGCTAACATACAACACCCGCTAACATACAACACCCGCTAACATACAACACCCGCTAACATACAACACCCGCTAACATACAACACCCGCTAACATACAACACCCACTAACATACAACTCCTCGCTAACATACAACACCCGCTAACATACAACACCCGCTAACATACAACACCCACTAACATACAACACCCGCTAACATACAACACCCGCTAACATACAACACCCGCTAACATACAACACCCGCTAACATACAACACCCGCTAACATACAACACCCGCTAACATACAACACCCGCTAACATACAACACCCGCTAACATACAACACCCACTAACATACAACACCCGCTAACATACAACACCCGCTAACATACAACCCTCGCTAACATACACCACCCGCTAACATACAACGTCCGCTAACATACAACGCTCGCTAACATACAACACCCGCTAACATACAACGCTGGCTAACGTACAACCCTCGCCAATGTACAATGCTTGGCAATATAAAACACTCGCCAATCTACAATGCTTGGCAAAATAAAACACTTGCCAATCTACAATGCTTGGCAATATAAAACACTCTCCAATACACAAAACCGGCTAATAGACGATGCTCGCTAACATATGCTGAGGTGCCGATGACGACGACGCCGCGGCAGGCCTTTAGCCAAGACCTTGCGCCTGTTAACTATTCGGGGTTTCGGATAACTTCCGCAGGGGTAGGGGACCTTCACCCGGACCTTCACTCGGTCTGTTCCGAGTTCGGCGAGCTCCAGGCCTCTCTCTCTCGAGACGGATCGGGGGTTCAGCCAACACCGACCGGCCGGGGCAGAGCAGCGCCTTCGATGACTACCGCCAGCTTCTCTCCAGACCAGAGGTCGCAATCGGGTACCCATACCCTACCCGATACCCGGCTACCCTACCCGGCTACCTGTACCCTACCCGATACCCAGCTACCCTACCCGATACCCGTACCCTACCCGATACCCGTACCCTACCCGATACCCAGCTACCCTACCCGATACCCGTACCCTACCAGATACCCGTACCCTACCCGATACCCGTACCCTATCCGATACCCGTACCCTATCCGATACCCGTACCCTACCAGATACCCGTACCCTACCCGGCTACCCGTACCCTACCCGATACCCAGCTACCCTACCCGATACCCGTACCCTACCCGATACCCGTACCCTACCCGATACCCGACCGGGTACGTGTAGCCGGGTATCGGGTAGGGTACGGGTACCCGTTTGCGACCCTGGTACGGGTACGGGGGGTAAGGAATCAAAACCCGTTTGCGACCTCTGCTGCCCCAGACTCCCTGAGCTCTACCCCTGGCTGGCTCTCCCACCGCTCTCCATCGCGGGCTCCCACAACCACCCGCTTTCGTCACGGGGTCCCCCTTAAGTGCCCCGGTGAGACGTGACGTCATCGCCCCGCCCAGCGCGCATGACGTCACATGACGTCGTTGCCCCGCCCAGCCCCCATGACGTCACATGATGTCGTCGCCCCGCCCAGCGCCCATGACGTCACGTCACATGACGTCGTCACCACGCGCCCATGACGTCACGTCACATGACATCATCGCCCCGCCCAGCGCCCATGACGTCACATCACATGACGTCGTCGCCCCGCCCAGCACCCATGACGTCACGTCACATGACATCATCGCCCCGCCCAGCGAACATGACGTCACGTCACATGACGTCGTCGCACTGGACAGCGCCCATGACGTCACGTCACATGACATCATCGCCCCGCCCAGCGAGCATGACGTCACGTCACATGACGTCGTCGCCCCGCCCAGCGCGCATGACGTCACGTCACATGACATCATCGCCCCGCCCAGCGCGCATGACGTCACGTCACATGACGTCGTCGCACTGGACAGCGAGCATGACGTCACGTCTCCATATTACTCCTCTACATATACATGGCTCGCCATTATACAACGCTGGCTAATAACAGAGCTCACCATTGTACAACTAGTGCCAATGTACAACAATAACCAATGTAAAGCGCTCGCCAATGTACAACGCTTGATAAAATACAAAGTTCACGAATGACAACGCTGGCTAATAACAATGCTCGCGAAGAGACAACGCTCACCAATGTACAACGCTCGCCAAATTACAACACTCGGCAATGTACAGTGTTCTCTAATACACAATGCTCGCCAATATAAAACGCTCGCTAATGTACAACACTTACTAATATACGATGCTTGCTAATATACATGGCTCGCTAATGTACAACACTCGCTAAAATACGATGCTCACTAATATACAACGCTGTCTAATGTACGACTCTCCCTAATACACAACGCTCGCCAATGTACAACTCTCGCTAATATACGATGCTTGCTAATATACAATGCTGTCTAATGTACGACTCTCCCTAATATATGACGCTCGCCAATGTACGACTCTCGTCCAGGTACGACGCTCGCTAATATACAGGGCTTGCTAATATACAACGCTGGCCAAGATACAACGCTGGCCAAGACACAACGCTCTCTAATAACAACACACACCAATGTACAACGCTGGCCAATGGACAATGCTCGTTAATATCCATGGCTCGCCAATACACGTCATGCGCTAATGTACGATGCTCACTTAATATACAACGCTCAATAATATACAATGCTCGCTAATAAACGACAATCGGAAATATACGCGGTCAACAAAATACGATGCGCGCTAATGTATAATGTTCGCTAATATACAATGCTCGACAATATACAACACAAATAACGCTCGCCAATGTAGAACGCTAGCTAATAAACAAAGCTCGCCAATGTATAATGCTCGCGAATATACGATGCTCGCCAATATACAACGGTCACTAATAACCACGCTTGCCAATGTACAATGCTCGCCAATGTACAATGCTCGCCAATATACGATGCCTGCTAATGTACAGCACTCGCTAATATACAACGCTCACTAATAACTACGCTTGCCAATGTACAACGCTTGCTAGTCTACAACGCTAGGTAATAAACGATGCTTGCTAATGTACAATGCTCACTAATATACAAGGCTCGCCATTAGACAATGCTCGCCAATATACAACACTCGCTAATATCCAACGCTCGTTAATGTACAACGCTTGTTAATGTACAACTCTTGCTAATATAAAATTCTCGCTAATATAAAACTCTCGCTAATATAAAACTCTCGTTAATATTAAACTCCCGCTAATATAAAACTTTCGCTAATATACAATGCTCCCTAATATACAACGCTCGCCAAAGCACAACGCTCGCCAATGTACAATGCTCGCTGATGTACAATGCTCGCCAATGTACAATGCGAGATAATATACAATGCTCGTTAATGGACAACTCTTGTTAATGTATAATGCTCGCTAATATAGAACTTTCGCTAATAACAACTCTCGCCAATGTACAACGCTCGCAAATAACAACACATGCCAATGTACAACGTATTCTTGGTTCTTTCAGTAAAGTCACGTAGAAGGGAAATAATAAAAGAATAAAAATGAAAACATAATTTAAAAAATTCTCACGACGTTTCGATCGCAACACAAGAAATCATTTCTAGATTTGAAGCTTACGTGACTGCAAGGATTCATATTCTTAGGTTTTTTCGGTAAAGTCACGTAGGTAAAAAATTAAAATTAATAAAAGTAAAATAAAAATAAAATAAAAATCACGACATTTCGGAGGCAACACAAGCTTCCGTCTTCAGGTGGGACCGTCACAGCACGATAGCTGTATCAAGTGAAATTCCAAGAAACAGTATTTGTATATATACTGGTTGAGGGTGGGAGGAGCCAAGGTAGGCCCTGGATATTATTTTTGTGAGGTTCGGTGCGGCTGAAGCACGATGTTAGGAATGAGCCTTTGTTGTGTAAACTAGGTGCGGATGATGTAAAGGTGCCATGTAAATGGGATTGAGCCTTTTGTTATGTAGAGATGATGCGGCTGAAATCGCTGCCAGGAAATTAGTCTTTGTTGTGTGGAATGGTTGACTGAGCCTATTATTATGTAGAGGTGGTGCGGCTTAAATGGCTGCCAGGAAATTATTCTTTGTTGTGTAGAATTGTTGACAAAGCCTATTGTTATGTAGAGGTGGTGCGGCTGAAATCGCTGCCAGGAATGCTCCAAATATGTGGAATTTGCATATGAATAGGAATTTTGCATATTTATGGGAAATGCAGGAATGCGACTAGTGCTACTTGTGAAATGCGTAGGAGGTGGGCGGGGGTTTTCAAAGTCATATTATGCCCATGCATTATGCAGGATTAGCAGCATCAAAGGGAGGGGGTAGGGGTAGCATTAATAAAGGGAAGGAATGTTAATAGTATGTAGCTGCAGTAACTAAATAACCACGTAAAAAGCTAAAGTATAAACTACATAGTATCATCAGTATGCTAAATATACTCTCAATAAGCTGAGCTACTAACCGTAAGTAATACATTACAATTCTAGGTCGCAAAAAATATAATATGCTTCCAGCTAAACTTTTTAAAACTTTTTCCTTACATCACACGGGTCTATCCCGTACTATATGCTGCCATAGACAAACCCAACATTAAATTGTATACTGTATTACTATACACTACCCTATGTCTTAGAATAATACATAGTGTAATATTACACTATGTATTATTCTACCCACCCAACTGTATACCACACTGCTGTATATTCACTATACAATTGCGATACTATATATTACCCTATACATTGTATTAAACATTACACTTTAATACTATTTATTATTATACAATATGCTATACACTATACCATTAACCGCCGCGTGAAAGGTACTAAGAGGAAGCAACGAAATATGTCAATGGGAGAGTGGTGGTAGGAAGCTTGCAGCGGAGCAAAGAATCCGTTCCCTGCGGAGAATACAAGATATATA